AAGATTTTCGGTGAAACCTGTTCGCATTCCTGTCGAATGGCACTTTAAGGGTTGTGATTGTCTAGGGCTTGTACCGAAACTTCAAGTAGCCCCATATAGAAAGTAGTTTGGGCCGTTTAAATTTGGCGATCTTGCTGGACATGTCAATTCGCCAAAACGAAATCGTGCTGTGTATGCGGTTGCACCGTCTTGTTGAAACCGCATATGTTTACGCTCCTGCAGAGTATCCTACTCCATTGCTTTTCTATTTGTATTCTGCATAGCTGTCTAGTTCACAAATATCAAATGATTGACATACGACGCCTTTTGCAATAATTATAACATCTTCCGAAAGAGTGATTTATTTGCGCCACTTGTATAAGCAGAATACAAGGTCCCAAACAAAAGGTTTAGGGTGCTTCGTTCAAACATACAGTATAAGCAATCTGTTAGTATTTCTTTAGTAACGATAACTCGGTACATTTTCATTTAAAACAGTTTATGTGTTTTTTTAGATCACGTATTTCATATTGTTCTGCGTGCCACGGTGGTGGTGATTATGCGAATATGCCGCCCCTTGTGTGAATCACATAAATCGTTTCACATTTTATCACTTTTTTTGCATAAGTATTTGTGTAAGCCGACGATCAGTTGCGCACGTCAACGGTAAAGGACGCTTGTTCATTTGAAGAGATATATATATTAATATATTTTATTTTATTTTTAACTTTGTTATTTAGTAGTATATTACGTTACTTGTAGATACTACGAAACAAATATGAAAATAGCAACAAGTTACCTGACAATCATCTGAAAATTCAAAAATAAAGTAAATTGAATGAGTTACAGACAGATTTTATTAATGATTAAATAAATTATACTTTTATGTTGTTGATGTGAAACAAGTCTACTCCGGGATGAAAATAATAAAAAAAAAATCAATTTGCCAGCTTCCATTTTTGTACCTCAGATATTTTACTGACAAATCAAATTGTGTCGTATGTTCGTAACAGAAATGATGAAAATATAATAGAATATTATAAAAAAAGAGGTTTTATTGATTTGAATGTTATTTGAAGCATTTTGACACGGTTGTATGTGCCAAATTTAAATTTTGCGGGCAACTCCACGAACACAAACGAACCGCGTTATCGCGTTATAGATGTTAAAGGTGTATGATATATATAAGATATAATAGTAAACTATCAAACACAAAAACTGTCTATTCAAAAATAAACAGAAGAATACCCAAAATAACTTATCTGATGTAATCTCATTACAAGTAGTGACAAGCTGCGTACGAATAGTGCGTTCCTTTGCTACGCGTCGCCGGGACACATTGGCCACGCGATACGATACGCGTTCAGAGGCCCCAGCATGAACTTTGACAGCTCCGTAATCGTATCGTCAACGTAAAAAAATGTATGGAAGAAGCTAGTTTGTAATTGCGTCCGATAGGGGCGCTGCTTAGTTTTCATAGAAATTTTAAGGATGCGATACGATATGGAGCTATTAAATTGCGTGCTTGGGCCTCAGTTCCTGCACAGAGCGCCGCGAATTCGAGATCCATAATGCCACGCGTCCCCCACTTGTCATTATGATTCACTATTTTAAAACTCGATGCCATTTTGCAATCCAAATACAGCGTACTCGGGCGTACAAGTTTCCATTGATGCGCGATCATAACCTGACTGACGGTGGCTCGACAGCGAGTCAACTCGCGCGGCACGCGTTCCCCGAGAGTGAATGCGCTAGCAGCTACAGATTTCACTACACCAGCACTGAAACAAGAAAAAATCCCTTCTTAAAATAAAACTGGTAAAACGATGTTTTCCCAACCTGTTTTTCTGTTAACGTATTTAATAGAGCCTTCGTCGAAATATCGCGTTCGTAAGCAAATAATGGAACCCTTATTATTTCATCAATTCCGTACGTCCGCGTGTCAATTTATTCTTTTTTCCGCACATCATTGTCGCTCCTGGCTTTTTTTATTATAATATTTGTTATCCTAAAGGTATTTTTTAATTCCATTGTTCCGAATTATATTCAATTGACAATTAACCAGATCACTACAAAGTATCGAATTGGGTCATTCAATTTTTAAACTTATACAAATTAAGCATAATGCTTAAAGTCAGTCCGTATAATTTTAGTTGTTTTAGTTACTGGATAATTTGAACCGCACTGCTGCTGTACCTGTAAAACCTGCCCCCAACGTTTTTATATGAAAAAAGAAAAGAACATATCGTATAAGTAACAGAAACATAACAAAAACATAAATAAATAAAGTTTACTAAGCTTAACAATGCGCAAAATTTGTTTTCTGTTCCATTCCGTTGTTTGTACAAGCAAACAGCCGACGCGGTGTCATGTTTGCCTTGTATCGCCAAGTATTTGTTATCTTGATACGACTAAACACAATCATGCACAACGACTTTCCTATCCTTCCATAGATTGCTTTCTTGGCATTCAGTAAAAGATAATAATTTAATCACAGTTATAAATTATGGGAAAAAAGTTTATATTATTGGAACGAAGAAACGCTTATTGTGTGTAGGTGTGTTCTTATACTTAAGTTTATATTTAACTTCGTTCCAACCGAGTGTTCCACGACTTTTGCTTTGCTTTTTTCGTACTAAGTAACTGTAAACGGCATGTGTTGTAATGCCAAGCGCCACTTAAAGAAAAAGACAATTAAAATGTTTTTAATATACTTAAAGTTTTTTGCGCCAGAAACCTTGCGTGTGTACGCAGAACAACGCGCTAAAGTTTCATAACTTATTGTATGAAGGTTTTCTATAAAAGTACGTACATACTTTTTGTACTTAGGTAAGGCTCAAGTCACACGGGCTACTCTGCAGTCGAAGCGACGCGACGCGTTTCGTCTGTAGTAAATTCGTCTCTATTTTTCCACTGTTAAGGTATTCCCAAGGCAGAAACATGACGCGACGCGACGTTTCGCCTCTGCGCCAGTGTGAGTAGAACCTTAGTTAGTCCTATAAAAACGACCTAGCATGTAACTAAATTAAGGATTGGCCATTTGTTTGGCATTGGTTATCCAGAAATAACAGAATTAGCGTCATCTGACTGCGCTGAGAGTGAGAGTCATATGTCCATTGATAGACTGATACTATCTACGATGCAAGATTAACACTTGGCACCTCCGCTCTTGGTCTGTCTTTTCAAATCCAGTAAAGATATATAACTACACTAGCAGCCGGCCGCGACTTCGTCCACGTTAACTTTAGTTTTTTGAGAATCCCTCAGAATGAGGGAGGGAGAGATAAAACCTTACATTTTTCCTGGATAAAAATTATCCTATGTCTCAATCCAAGTCGTATGCGTACAAATTATAGGCGTACGAAACCTGTAAATTCGTCCAGTAGTTTTTGCGTGATTGAGTTACAAACATACGAACATTCAAACTTACACATTAAAATATTAATAGGATTACATACCTAACCACTCATATATTTTAAATAAAAGAAAGAAAAATAATTAATTATAAGAGGCAAACTTACATTTTCCCTTACCGTTGAATAAGCTCCACTCAACGAATACAAAATCAAATTTTTGACATTAAAGATGAGTGCCCCTTTTAATAATTTATTGAAGAACGCTTACAAATGCTCTTTCATGCTCTGCAATGACTTCTTCAAAAGTACTTAAAAGTAAAACGCAATAATGTACTAGTCCTTATTAATACACACCCGCAAATGGATCCTTTGTACTTGTAAAATCGTAATCGTTTGTTAGGGTCTTTGAAAACAATTATCTATAGTTAGGAGTACTGTGTTGTTCCTTATACGGTGCCTAATTAAATAGCTGGGGTAATTATTATAATTGCTTTCGGCCACATATTAAATTAACCCTTTTAAAGAACGTGCAAACACAAACATAATGGTTATACTATTTTATTTTCTTTATTATATTTAATCTAATTATGTTTATCCTGCCTCTGGGAATCACACCAAAGTCTTCCTGCTGCTGACTGAAGAAAGTATCCAAACATGATTACTATTTAATATGAGAAATGAATTCCAACTATGTCATGTAAGTACCTGTCAGCCTCATCTGCTATCTCACCATAAATTTTACCATAAACAAAAAAAAGATTTTTGTTTGACTTTGAATCTTTGTAGGTCTGCTGTCATCCACCATGATGGATGAAAGTCACTGATTTTTACGCAGTGAACGAGTATAATGACAATATAATTTTTCCAAGCGGATTTTTTTAAAGTATAGGTACAATAAAAAGATTTTTATCAAAATTCTTAAAATCAACATTTTTATTCAATCAATCCTTCATCTATTTTAATATAAAATAAATTTCGGATTACACACCAGTCGGCGATTGGCGAAACTCCCAATTTCGTTCGTAGATTTACGCTTTCATTCCCAATTGCTCGGAAACTCAATTTGGAATACGCTCAACCTGTTGTGAATAATTTTCCTTTATTAATTCGAAAATGGACTAAGAATTTCAGTTATCACAGTAATTTTATTTGAACTGATAGTCCAAACCTATAAGCCCGAGTGGGGAAAGTTTAGCGTTTCGGAGCACTGTACGTTTTAAACTCAAAGGAAAAATGAGATGTATGGCGTAAAAACAAACTCGCTGAAAAATTGCCACAACCGTAATCTACAAATGACAAACTTGGACAATCATATTGAGATAGCATTGATAACCATAAAGAGTGTTCTAAAGATTTCCTTTTTTTTTATTTTATTTTTTTCAATCTTAACTTTCTTTTTTACTCCTACCATACTTGCTAGCTACTACTACTTCTACTACTGATTTTGTTATATTTGTTGTTCTCTCTGAAACCAAAACACAAACAATAATAATTTATTGTAAACACAGATAAAGCTACTCCTTAACAGTGAGGCTCACGAAATAATATATAATGACCACTTAACGCCGCTTCCCCAGCTTTCGTACAAAGGAACTCGTGATGAGTATTAAGAGGCATTCTTGAATTACTCGTCAGATACTACACTCCTTTTCACACAGGGGAACGATGAAAATACTAAAGGGAAACATAAAAGAGAAGCTTGCAATTTTGAAGCCGATCTTACCGTACGGCGTGTTAGAGTCGTGGGATGATTTAGATCCGAAATTGTATCACGCCGTGCATATTTACTGGTTGAAGTTTTACGGATTATGGTATTACGATTTCGCTCCGGGAAGCTTCATGTTCTGGATACGTTTCCTTTATACAATGCTCGTGATGTGGCTCGTATGTTTTTTGCCAGGCATTGGAGAAGTCGTGTATTTACTCAAGCGGAGAGATGATATCGGCGACATAGCTGAAGGGTATATTTCCATGTTTGCTCGCTCTTGTTTGTTTGCAGGTAGCAAATATATCATGCTTAAAGAAATCGAAGCAAATGTGCTGTGTACTTTGCTTATTAAGAATTAGTTACATGGACTGCTAGGCAATGAAAACTATCAAAAACAACATAAAAATTTGGTTCGAATTCTGTTTTGTGTGTGTTATAGGGTGTGCATTATGTACTTTGTAGTTCACAAGTCTGTCCCAGATTTCTTATTCAACTATTTTCTTTATATGCAAATGTAGTATTCCCTGTTTAAATTGATTTTTATTTAAAAGGTTGGCAAATCAGCTTATGAATGATAAGCGGTCATCCTAGCCTATTAACGCTTGCGATATTACAAATATCACTCGCACCATTGTCAACCCTGACCTGACCCAATCCCCTACCCCGTGGCGCCCTGGAACCTTAATCGCCGACAGAAATACAACATCACCGAAAGGTAATGTTATTTCAATGTGATCTTCTGTAAGGTGGAGGTTACTTCCCCAGGCGGGCACTCTAATTCGAGTGGAAAATCCGCTGCTAAACTGTACTTTCAGAGCCCAAGTGGTGATACTTCACACTAGGTTAGGTTAGGTTAGTGTTGTGACCATAACGCATGAGCCGAGCAAACGAAGCAAGAATGCCGCGGCAGCGGCCGGCGAAGCGCCAAAAAAAAATTAAAACAGACCTCTTCTACAAAAAATGATCGAGTATCACCTCTTGGGTCCTGAAGAACAGTTTTACCAAATCCGCTACCTCTCTTAAAATAAAGTAAAGAGTAGACCTAAAATAAGTAAAATGTCAATAATAAACAAAGAATATTAAATATCTATATGAACTTAATCAATTAAACAATATTACTTACAAAGTTACAACACCTTTGCCGTTTCTTTTTGGCATTATTTTTGAAATATTTAAGGATTCTTACTAATGTTATAAATCACGCCTAAACCATGTATCCATTTATTTAAGAATTCTGGTTTCGAAATAATTTTGAAAGAGCACTTTGAAAATCCGGCTACTTTATGAGTAAATTCGCAGGTATCCATTAGTATTTTTATCAGTTCACACCACAGTATTTCAAAGACCTTCATATTGCAGATTATATTTATTCCTTAGTGAAATGTATACTTACTTCAAAATGTCAGTATTTTGGTTGAACAAGGACAAAGTGTTAAATTTGCTGCAATATCTGACATGCGAGCATTTCAAGCCCGTTGAGGCGGAACACAAGGAAATAATAAAGAAAAGTATTGGAACAGCACGATTTCTTATGACGTTCTACTCTACGATCTGTGTCGGTGCCGTCTCAGGTATGAATTCATACGAAAAATATAAATGTGACTGTCTCTTAAGCATTCAGACCTCAACCACAAAACATAATACTTACTTATAACATAACTAGCGGCCGCCTGCGACTTCGTCCGCGTAAACTTAGTTTTTTGAGAATCCCACAGGAACCTAACATTTTTCATGGGATCAAAAGTATTATTCTGTGTCTCAATCCAGGTCATAAATTTAACGCGTACCAAATTTCATTAAAATCCGTTCAGTTGTTTTAACTTGATAGATAGATTGTAACAAAACATTCAAACACACAAACATACAAACTTTCTTAGGTATATATAATATTAGTAGGATGTTAAAGTCTAACTGTCTGTCTCTGACGTATTCAAACCTAAACCACAAAACATAATACTTTATAACAATATAATAAATAAAAAATATTGTCAAATATTGTGCCATAAACATAAAAAATCCTCGAAGGAAATCAGGCTACTTAGAGACTTATTGTTACAATAATTTTGGTGGTGATATGTGGAATGAATGTTTGAAAATTAAAATGAATTCAAACTTTCACATTTATAATATTAGTAAGTAGGATAGGAAATCTTGACAGAAACAACAATTTAATAACATTTTATTTGACACAATATCTATCATTATCAAATTATTAAAATAAAAGAACTCTCAGACCGTGACCGGTGAGTTCCTCTAATCTTAATGAACCCGCAAATGAAAAAGATGAATATTAAGCGCATTAATTTATATTTGAAGCTCGTAAATCCGATGTTACCGAGCCCCGTAATAATCTCGAATCAAATCGTGATCGATCGTAAAACACTTTAAAGCAATCACGTTCACACCCCCGAATTTACATTTTTATTGGACTCGGACTTTATGGGCGGTCAAACTGATTTCTGTTCGATACCGGCGTTAGGCAATAGAGAAGATATTGAACAAGTTTTACATAAAAAAAAGGAAAAAAATAGAGTTGTATGTTTTTTCCGATGCGAGTAACATTTCTTTACGCCATATCTCGAGTGGAATGAACATAAAAGCCGAGAGAGTATTTCATTATTCATATATTAAACTTTTATACATTTATAATAATCTCATATCACAATGTTTGTCCTAAACAAACTAATATAAGCAAATCGATGAAATTTGGCTGTGTGTTTGTAATTTCGTTGAAATTAAGGGACGATAGTATTACCAGCAGTGAATTACCTAAAACTGTTTTAATGCATCACAGATTTTATTTTTGAACTAAGTGTTAGACTGTCGCTCGGTGCCTCAGAACCATTAAAACAAGTAATGTATCAAAAAAGATGTAATATTTTGTTTGTAGGTAGGTATAGCGTAACATAATGTCCCCGTAGGTAAGAATAGCTGGAACCTTAAAGGACGTCAATCATCATTACGAAGTTTGACAAGCTCTTCAGCGAGTTTGCTCCGTGATTGATATTCCATGTACATACTTTTAGCAATTATAACTATAGTGTTTGGTGTAAATTTTCATTATTAACTCTTGGATAATTCTCGTTAGGAAGACCGCAAGATGTTTAAAACGACTTCATTGACTCAAAAAGCTCAGATGTTTATCGTTTTGAATTTTGAGAACAATACAAAGATCTCGTCCTTACATTTATAAATCTAGCAGTTAAATGCTTAAAATATATATAATAAACATAACATAACATATTATATATATATAATATATATATAATTGATTAGTAAATTTTCAAAAAAAGATGCCGAGAGGCCTAACATCAATATGCAACGGCATCAAAGTATTACTGTAATCACAATAAAATAGTATTTATATTTTCAAAAACAAAAGCTGTTCGAGAGTCTTTTTATTTCTTTGTCTGTGTAATAACGCGTTACGATTGTTTGTTATGAATTACAATAACTAGAGCACGGAACCGTTTGATTCAATCACTCATTATTTTGTTTCAGTTGGCATCATTATGCCGCTCACGGAGAATTTTGATATTTTGCCGACGAACGTAGAGTACCCATTCTTTGATGTCTACCAATCACCAGCCTACGGAATACTTTACTTTCATCATGTAAGTACTTGGCTCGTTCGTTGGAATAAGAATGTACTTATACATTCTGATGGATGCTGAATAATTAACAGGAAGTAAGCAGGTATTATTTATTAAAATAGTGTTTATTTCGCATTCCAAATTTTCACATTTAGAATGATGTGAACAAACTTCAAGCTATTATGGCAGTTTCTTTTCTATTGCTTTAATTACTAGCTCATAAAGAAATATATTACTGACCTGTTCTAGAACGCTGATAAAATCACGTTTCTTGCAAGGTTTTTATTTGAGCCCTATTTTGCTTAAGATAATTCGTGGCAATAGCAATACGAATTTTGTGAAAATTTCTACTGTGTTTGGGATACAGTTCACTGTCAGGCTACAGGGCATTGGCTTTGTAATAGCGATCTGTTGTTACTCCTAACTGGGGTCGGCTTAAAAAACTTCGGAAATTACTGTACTGAATTGGCTTACAACCTTTATGGATTACTTTCTGATATCGACCGAGTCTAACCCACTGTTTCTTACTTTCTCTATTTGTGTGCAGACACGGATCACTTTCAGATTTGAAGAAACCTCTTGGTAATGAATAAATTGGGAAAAGAAAGAAGCCGTATATTAAGAAATCCTTATTATTTGTAGTTTCATTACGCTTACTAATTCTCAATCAAGCGTTAAGAGCAACTAAGCTGCTGAAGTTCCCTGATAAACATGCTGTAGACCCATCTATAAGAAACTTTGTTCTAACCCAAATATTATTAAAGCTGTTATAAACATATTTAAAATCAAGTTATCCGAAACCGTCAAATTTCTCTTACTGATTCTAAGTTTTATCTCACTTGATAATAGTGCAGTCATTGAAGCGATAAATACGGTCTTACCTCCGAATTTTTTAACTGTGAACCGATTTGCATGAAATTTTGGAATTAGGCTCATCTTACCCTTAACTTCAAAAGTGAAAATGATCTGAACTCCGCCTATTATTTTTAAGAGGTGTAAACAACCCCTTAATGGAAAAATTGACATTGAGCCATTTTATCGCTAGAAAACATGTCTAATAGTAAGTGGTGAAATTGTAAAGTATTTTCTAACATAATTACCTCATATTAATACCTACCTCATAATTATTTTCAACCCCTTGAAAATCTTACAACCCTTGCAAACAACCCCTAAACTGAAAAAATCACAAAAAAATACTTTGGTATGACATAAAAAGATGTAAGTATAGAGTAAGTAATATTTTATATTCTCTATAATAATTATCAAATTTTTAACCCCCTTTCAACCCTTGAAAACTACCCCTTGATAAAAAATTGTTAAATTTTTTTTTTGATAAAATGAAAAGGATTTAAATATTATTCCACACTCTCGAAAATGATTATAATATTCTTAAGCTTTTCTACCCTTAAAACTACCCCTAAATAAAAACAGTAAATATATAATTTTATGGCACAATTTTAATAAGATATTATTAAAAAACAGGTTTTTTATCTACTTACATTTTTTTATGATTTTTTTTTAAGCATTTAACTGCTAGATGTTTAAATCTAAAGAAAAGTTTACTAGAAAAAAATCCACGCGGACCAGGCAGCGGACGGGACATATGAAAAAACCTGTTTTTTAAGATATTATTAAAAAACAGGTTTTTTATCTACTTACATTTTTTTATTAAACAAAATGTATTGAAAAAGGGTGTCTAGTTAAAATATTACTAGCAAACCAGTGAACCAAATGTTCACCAAAAAAAAATATATATATTTAATTAATTGAGAACTTCGGAGATTTTGTGTGGTTTCGTTTGAAATAGAAATCACGTGATTTCTCGAAAACCGGAAGTGCTACGTTACTCACATCCGGTTTGTAGTCTTATCAGACTATTCTTAACTTATAACTCAAACATTCTCTATATCTATCTCTTACGGTTTGGCCGCTGAAACAGCACCACGGACGGACGGACGGACTTGTCTAATAGATAAGAGATATTAAACACGTGCTCATTCCTTTGCAGACGGAAATATACTGGTCACATTATAACGAATAAACGGAGCACGCACAGCTGGATCACATGGCTTTTTCGTTGGCCCCTTCACTCAAATGTGTTATATCTATACTTATAATAAATCTGTAGAGATGTCAATTCTGTACATGAAATATATTTTTAAAATAACTATCAGGGGGTGATTAGTGATCGATACTGATGCCAAAAATGCAATCAGTAAAATTTTTGTCTGTCTGTCTGTCTGTGTGTATGTTCCTTATAGAAACAAAAACTACTCAACGGATTTTAACGAAACTTGGTACAATTATTCTTCATACTCCTGGGCAGGTTATAGTACACTTTTCATCACGGTACAATCAATAGCAGCAGAGTAGTGAAGGGAAATGTTGGGAAAACGGGAGAAGTTACTCTATTTTTTAATTTCCGTCGCGGGTGCAGCCTTAATGGTTAAAGTTACATAGAAATCATGTATGACGGAAATATTCTACATAAAATTGTCTAAAAAATATCCCGCAACATGTCTATCTTTTATGGTTGACTCATAATAACACGTGTAATTATATAAATAAAGTCATTCTTTATAGCACAAGCCTGAGAACAAAAACTATAGTTTACACTAGCTCTACACCGAAGCGAAGCGAGGGCGGGCCACTAGTATACATATAAGAACGTTGGTATGTATTCATGCCCACGTTTCCAAAATATATGAGCCATATTATGTATATAAATACACATTACAATAGTTGTGGGTCTCTATTATACTGCGTACTTTCACATTGCACCAAATATTCACACTCCGAAATTTTCAGTTACTAAGTAGAAAAAAATATGATAAGTTTTTGGACCATAACTCCTTCAATTTTCATGCTATCACAATTTATAAAAAAACATTGTAAAGGTAATTAAGAGAGCTACAACAACCTTCATTGCAATATATAGTAAAATACCTTTTTCTAAAACGGTGAAGGGTTAAAGGGCTTAAGAGAGGCTGTGATTGCGCTGCCACGCGCTCTTTAAACAATCATATCTCCGTCAATTTTTGTTTGACAGAAAAAACAAAAAAACCAAATTGTTTGTCAGACAAATACCTAAATTTTTAAATCGTACACTTTTATACGTATCTGTCGTCATTTTTGAGATATTATGAAAAAAAAGTGTGTTTTTTAAAAATTTGAAATTTTGTTTTTTTTTTAATCGTGACTTTTTTGAATAATATGTGTCCTGAAGCAGCCAAACTGATACTATCTATCAAACTCTTCATAATAAAGTTAATTCTAGACGGAATACGATTAATTTTAATTTTGGTGGAAATGGCACTTATGAAACTCATTGATTAAAAAGAAAAAACATTAGATGCTCCCCTTATTTGCAATACAGTTCACTTATTTTACGTGCAAAAGACTTTTAATAGTGCTCATTTTAAAGCTTATTTCAAGCACTACAAAACCCTTTTGTATTAGAATGCATAAAATGCATCTGCTCGCCGCAAGATGGCATTGACCACATCGATTAAATTTCAGATAAAATAAAAAACGGCTTTGATCTTTAATATCTAGCTTAATATTGCACTTACAATACTTTATAAAAAACCAAATTGTTCAATGTTTCACCTACAATTTTGTTCTTTATAAAATTTTCGATAGAACGTATATTTTTGGAGATATTTGCAAAAAACCGATGAAAAACATGAAAAAATTGCGAATTTTCAATTGCCAATAACTTGAAAAGTATTGGATTTTTTGAAAAACTTTATAGATTATTTTTTGCTTAAAATTAGGCCTTCTATCGATATCCGAGGTTATTTTGAAAAAAAAATCACCACCACCCCCAGGGTGGTTGCGGAGTTCAAATCATTTTCACTTTTGAAGTTAAGAGTAAGATGAACCTAATTCCAAAATTGTATGCAATTCGGTTCACAATAAAAAAATTCGGAGCAATAATGCTTCAATGACTGCACTATTAACGATTTTTTACTTTAAGTATTAACTTGGTGTGCAATGTGTTAACTGACCTGTACGGACACAAGACACACAATCTTAATATCATCATCATCATCACCATCAGCCTATTAATGTCCCCAATGCTGGGGCACCGGCTTTCGCTATGGATGGAATAGAGAGATTGGGCCGTAATCCACCACGCAAGCCCACTGCGGATTGGAGGGTTGGAGGGTACTTACGACTGCAGATGCAGCAGAGACCAACGGCTTAACGTGCCTTCCGAAGCACGGAGGAGCGGTTAATTTTGGGTCACCCATCCATTGATCGACCACTGCAAAAGTTGCTTTACTTCCACGATCGCAGCCGACCGCGCTTACCACTTGCGCCATCGAGCTCTTCACACAATCTCAAGCTGACTCATTTTGTTCACTCTCCAACAGGCCTACTACAAGCCGGCCACGTGCATCATCGACGGCGTTATGGACACCATTCTGGCAGCGTTCATTGTGTCAGCACGTAAGTTTAGTTTCCAAATTCATACCTAATTTCCTCCATACCAATATTATAAACCTCGAAAGGGAGTCTCATTGTATGTCATAATTTTTCAGGTAAATACTTATTTTTTCGGTTGCGCGCCGCCTCCTTATAAGCATTGAGCTATATATTTTGCTGAAATCTGACAACTTTCTTAAAATTGAGAATATTTATATGAAATGAAAATTCTTATTCAAAATGACTTATTGAAAACTCTTTTGAATTGTAGAATTTTTATTTCCCACCACCCTTTCAGGACATCTTTTAGGTTGTAACGTACCTTAATAATCGTCCCATGGTTTCGACTATCATAGGTTCCATTTCGCACATTTTATCATATGACATCATCGATATTGATCAGGGATCATCATATATTTTATTATTTATTTCTGGAAACACACAATTTCAAAAATATCACACGCTACTCATCATTTTGTAAATACGTATTATAATTCCATCTGTACTGAAAATCACTATTCCAGAGTGCTGGACACTTACCGGCATTTCTCTTTATTCTGTTATTTATTTGTTTTCTTTAATTTTGCTTCGAGTTTATCTATTTTTAGTTTATTTATTTTATTGACATTTATGACAACTTAATGTTTTTTATCCGTTGCCATGGCTACCCATGACACGGATACTCTCTCCAACTACGTCTATGACTATTCAACCTCCACAGACCACCTACTTTGATTCTTTTTGGCTCGATTCGAACCGTGTCTAAATTTAAATGGTTCCGGACCTATAAAAGGCCGAGCCTCCCTTACCTTTCATTCATTTCTACGGCAAAAGTTGCCTACTCAACTTTTGATAGCTCGCTACCGAGCTCTAAATTAATAAAAGGCCTTGTCCCGGGGCCGACTGCCCCGGGACTCAAGAAAGACCTCAAAGCTATATAGCACCTATTGGTTCTCTAAACTACTTAACTCTACTACACTACTACTCTTCTCGTCATCTTCACGTACTCGCAAACTCATTGGTGGCCTGCCGCCTGGACTCCAGCTTCTTCGGCCAGCCTCCAACTGCTTCAGCCCGCCTTCTACCGACTCCTGCCGTTCCACCAACTCCTGCCACCGGCCGATATTCGCCAGCCAACCTACCAGCAGCGCCCGCCAGCCACCACCAGGGCAGGCCAAGACCTTTGACGCCTGAACAGGAGCGCTTCTGCCTCCTAGGAGTGCTGCCCGTCTGCCAGCAGCACGTCCTCCAGACCCAATTCTCAACAAAGAAGATCGCCGACGACCCACGCCCACTTCACCACTTCCACTTCACACCCCACACTTCACACACACCATACCCCTATTTTTTTTTTTAATCTGTAAATACTTCTTAATCTTGTAAATATATATATTTTATAACCTCTACCTGTTTTCTTTCTTTTTATTTTGTCGCTACACGACAAGGTGATGAGAAGAATAGGCGTAAGGAAGTTATTAGCGTTTAACAGAAGTAGCAATATTTACATAAACTCAAGTCGCTTTACCAATACAATTAATTAGATATATTATTCAAATTAATATCGTCCACTAAAATTTTGATTGCTTTTGCGACATCATCACTGTAATTCTTATAAGATCAATTATTGATTGATGAAATAAAGACCTTATTTAATAAATTACTAGCTGTCCCAGCGAACCTCGTACCGCCATAAAAAAATAGGGGTTGGTGGTAGAAGGGTGAAAATTTAGGGTTCTACGTATTTTTGTATGATGTATCAAAAAAAAATAAAAAAAAATGTCATAAAAAAAATAGATGCTGTCCGATTCACAGACCTACTGAATATGCATATAAAATTTCACGAAAATTGGTCGAGCCGTATCGGAGTAGTTCAATTACGCACATTTACGCGTGTAAATGTGCGTAATTGAACTATATAAAATTTTATATATTAGATTTAACGTTTTTATCACAAATATATAGTTCATTTTAACAGTTCGGATATCTTTTTATACAATAACAAAGAAAAGTTCCAATAAAACAGGACCCATTTGCCATACCGAAATTGTGTAATGTACGAGAAGAAACTAATATTTTCACTTCGCCAAATAGAAGTATTTGGGCTTTCAACATGAGTTACTTTTAATGTAGTTCTCATGAAACTACATTTGTACTTACCTACTTATACGTTTTTGTTCAAATATTGGAAGTAACATTGAAGTTTTATTATTTTTATGTGTTCCATAATAATAATAATAAACAGAATGAATAAGTTACAGAATATGTAAATAATGAATGGAATTCAAATAACATATACAACACAAATATTAATAACTATGATTGGAAATCAAATATTTGTGCTCATCATACTAATTGATGCTGGGATTCGAACCCAGGTTCTTTGGAGCCGAAGACCATAATGCAGCAATTGCACCAACTATTTCATCTCCTTAAAATTTTCGCGATAACAACACATTTGTCCTTTTTTCCTATAGTTTGTTACATTTTTTATGTTAAAAGGGTGGAAAAGAAGCATATGGCCTACCTGATGGTAAGCGGCCACCATAGCTTATAGACGCTTGCGATACTAAAAATATTACTCGCTCCGTTGCCTACCCTGTCTGACCCAATCCCCTAACCCGTGGAACCTTACTCACCGACAGAAACACAACACCAATCAATAGGTCATTTTATCTTCTGTAAAGTGGTGGTTACTTCCCCAGACGGACGCTACAATTCTAGCAGAAAATCCGCTGTGCCCTACCTGTCTTAACACACATAGTATAATAAACAAACTGAGTACTAACTTATAAACTTTCTTGTTGCAGTCGGTCAAATAGAAATACTGACATTCAACCTACGTAATTTCGATGTAATAGCGAAGAGGCGACATAAAAGGGCCCTTGACGGGAACAAACCGGAAGCTTCGTGGTCTAACGAGCGTCACATACGGGCCGTGCTTAAGGACTGCATCATACACCATAAAAGTATCATTAGGTGAGCTTAATGCGTTAGGGTCGTATTACGAGTGGTAACGGGCTAATTAAGACAACCTTTTTTGTAACTAAGTACGTATGATAAGTGATTTTTCATTTGTTTCACTTTAAGAAACACACAGCACTTAAGCGCAGCGCACACTGGGAGAGGCGCGCCGCCGGGCGCGGCCAAGAGCCACAAAAATATAGGTATTACCCCTGCAGCCGCGTAATGGGACATGGTGTAATCACCCTATTCCACCCAAAAAAAATATCCCACCCACAAACTCCAATCCAATCTCCCTATTCCATCACTTAAATATTGTCACAAACGCTCTCGAAACAAAACCGCGAAAATGCTAAAGACAAAATTTAACAGAACACCGCGGATCGCAATAAAGATCGAGTGGTGCAGCTCATTCTAATATGAGCCTTATGCAGTGCGACGTAAGGGAGAAAATGCAACAACATCTGCACTTGTTTACAACTAATGCGCATCACCTGCGTAGGTATAAGTAGGTACTACGCACTCGCGGGTGCTAGTTTTTCTAGAATGCGTCATTTGGCGTATATAAGCGCAGAGACAGTTAAGTTTCAACAGCGATTTCGGAACGAATACAAAGGCGATCAAAGTGCAAGTAAAGTGTTCAAGTGCGATTGTTGAAAGACTTGTATAGTGAAGTACTGAAGTGTTTAGTGAGTGTATTGTGATTTTCATTGAATGTTTACTGTGTGGTGAATAAAGCACTGTCAATCGTGAACTGGCATATGATTTCGAAACCCATCCCGACACGTAACAATATCCTACCCATCAAGCCGCACTGGGCCCACGTGGTGGCTCTGGCCAATCGCCCTATTTCTTCGAAAAGTAACAAGTAATATCTGGTTCATGATTTAAAGACGGGCAAGGCAAAGATTGAAACATGGAATAGATTTTTATTTCTGATCGGTAATAATACTTCATTATTTTTTTACTTTTAAGTTCCATTTTCGATTTAAAAGTCGGTATTATTTTTTGTTTCAAAATTTTTGGTAGTATTGTATTTCTGTCGGTGAGTACCATGGCTCCAGGGTAGATGATGGAACCTAGGTATGCAAAGGCGCAAGTGATAGTTTTGGTATCACAAGCGTCAACAGTCTATGGTGCCCGCTTACCATCAGACGACCTAAATGCTCGTTGGCCCCCTTTTTACATATAGAAATCAATATCAGTTAATTATGTGTCTTCTGAGTTCATTTAATCAGAATGAAAGCTTTACTCGGACAAAAAAGAAATCTTAGTTGCTAATTTGATGCCCAAATCCTATAATAAAGTTTCCAGTCGTTTTTCCATTAGTCTTAATAAAGTTGAGACATGTTAATATATTCAGTTATTCAGTATTATCCTCGACCTTAGAACAAAGAGCCGTGTTTGAATTTAATCATCATTTTTATTTTTTTATTATCTTACCTGTTTTTACATTGTAAGTAATCTTTGAGAGGATTAAGATTTACACAAAATTAGAACCTATTTTGTCTTATCTACTTAAACTAATATTATAAAGAGGTAAAGTTTATTAGGTTGTAGGATATAACCCTAAAAATTTTTTTCTTACTATAAATTTAAATTATGTCCAAAAGACCAGAAAGAAAAAATATCAACAAGGCCGTATGGTCTTTGTTGCCTTTGCCTGCCCAAAAGCGGAAAATATAAAAACAATATTTGTCGGACGAAGCAGCGGCGCACGAGCGGCGTAATATTAATTTTCACTAATAAGATTTTCCGTTTTTAATCGATCAACGCGAGATCAACGAAATTTTCTTACTTTGCAAATTTCCTATTTAAAGATAGAACCGTTCTTAGTTCTCATCAAATTTGTCGATGTAACTACCCACTTACCTCTTTGGCGAACGCGTCGATGTTACTTTCATATTTAAATAAGTGATTTATCCTGATAATTAGATATAATACGGGGCCCGTGTGAATTGTTTCCCGAGTTCTCTGCACGCCTCCAGTTTATCTTTTAACTCCTAAAACGGAGTTTTGTTATTTCGGGTGATAATCAACATTTTCGAGCAAGCATCGAGTCCCCGGACAAGTGGCAAGTGCTCTCTCAGGATCGTACCTTCCCATTATTTATTTGTTTATTTTTTTAGGTCACCGAAACTTAGTTATATTTTGGATGACAATTAACTTTTTCGAGCGAGAATCGTGTCCCGGACGGATTCAGTGGCGAGTGCTCCCTCAGGACGTTAATTACCTATTATTCAATTGTGAATCTCTGGAGACCGCCGAAATTGTGAACTATATAGATTCCAACGTAGCTAACGTAACCTTATGTATAAATCAATTTAAGCTATTTGGACTATTTAAGTTTTTAAGTTTATACACACATCACTCAAACCCAGACCAGAAATCGTCGCGAGCCCTCTATTCTTTTATTTGTAACTATATGGGGAGAATAAACTTAGTAACATAATTTGATTTGTTTTGTAGAAAACAAACCTTTTGATTTAAATACCTGGCGTTGATCGATTAAAAATAAAAACTAAATCTGAAAAGTTGTTTTCTTTAACCCCAGATTCTCAAGGTTACAAGAGGGTTATCTCTGGATCTACATGAACCGGTTTTAAATATTATTTTATCGCGTTATTTGTGTGGTGAGTGTAAAAATAAAAATATTAGAATTTAGAACAACAAATATTATATAGTTTAAACTGAAGCGACGGCCACTAGTTAAAATATTTTTTTTTACGTAGTTTATTTAGGTAAATCGCCATTTTTGTAGAAAAGATTTTTTTTAATACTCATAGACAAAGTGGGTATAACCAATTCTCTTCGATAGCCCATTTAGTAAATGGAACTTTACTCATAACTTAGATTGCTATAGGTAAAAGCAACGGTTTAAAAATAACGTAGAAATTTCCTTTAGAGTTTATCTTTTTTTATAGATAATAACTTTTAAACTTCGTTAGTAAAATCAGATACCAGAAAATTCTTTTAGAATTCAGTGAATTAGAAAATATGTTTTTCTTTAAGGTTAAACAAAACGGAATGCCTGCTCATATTGAAGCGTCTTTTTAAGCAAGAATGCTCCACCATACAGCCACAATGAAAAAGATAACACTTTCCAAAGTAGAATTAAAGAGTACTGATTATTCCCTCGAATTGGAGCTCCCGTCTGGGTTACTCACCACCATCTTACAGAGATCACAGTAAAATAACACTACCTTTTGGTGGTGTTGTGTTTCTTGGGGTGAGTAAAGTTCCAGGGCTCCATGGTGTGGGGGATTGGGTCAGGGTAGGCTTTTAGGCAACACCAACAGAAACACAACTCCACCAAAATGAAGTGCAATATTATAGTACTCTTCTGTAAGATAGACGTTACTTTCCCACACGGGCGCGGGCGCTCCAATAACTTCAGATAATCCTATTGCAAGTGGACATCAAAATTTTCTATTCTTACACAATTTGACTCCAGGAAATCAAAGAAATTATTGGTTCTTTTGTTTTCACGCAACCACTCATTAAATAGAACTTCTTTTCGGGTTTAAAATGCGTTTTTAATACTTTTCTACATAACTTGATGTTTCGCAACCTTATCGGTTTTATTTTGGAATAAAACTACTTTTCAAGGGGTTAAATTTGTTTGTTGAAAAACGATGCGAAACGTCGAGTCATGCAAAAAAGTATTAAAAACGCATTTTAAACCCATTGAGAAGTAGTTATATTTAAAGATGAATGAAAACCTTAGGAAAAACTCCTTATACCTAGTATTCTCAAGGCTCGGCGCAGACGGCGGAGCAGGATAGGCCGTACAAACCCGCCGCGAGCAATATGACAAAAGGAATCGTGTACTGACAACGCACAATTAGGCAGTTGTCTCATCGCCGAGGAAGAAGCGACTAACTATCGGGTATTTTCTCGCTCCAGAAATATACAGATATACATTCCGTGTGAACAAAAGACAAGCATATAATAGTTGATCGCTGACTTTTCACATTGCCCGTGAGAACATGCTCCATTATTTTGTTCATGATGTTCACTTGGCCATCATGACGCGTGCGCATATATTTTTTGTTAATGAGTGTGTATGCTGTTTGTCGCAGATGACTTTCACAGCGTCACCGGGTTTGGAGACAGCGAGATCCTAAGGAGACCTCAAGCCGAGAATTGGCGGGTGCCTCTAGTGGTATTCCAGGCGGATGGCATCTCCCCACAGGGGGTGTCTCCTCTTTGTCTGGAGCCATTTGTCAGTGTGCTTAGTGTGATTTTCTTACCTACTCGATCACGTTGGCGTAAACGCGATTTTGTATGGGATTAGAATTACACCATCTAGTGACGAAAGGTTAAATTAAAAGTTGCGTGTGTGACTTTAACGCTATCGATATCGACAATTGAAAGTCGAAAACTGAAATACCACGTGATCTCCGTTGTTTACGCCGTGAGAGCGTTTTGGCTTGTGATTGGTAATTAAAGTTCGAGTGTGAGTTGTAGGTTTTGACGTTTAATAGTTAACTCCGTGAAATTAACGCGATAGTGATCGAGTACTTTGTTACTTCGATTTCGTTAGTGAAAACATTAGATTTCGTAGTAAAATCACGGAAGCGCGATTCTAATTTGCTGGCAGCAGCTTTTGCACAAGATAATCAGCATCTTAGTACAACCATTAAAGCAAGAGGCCGAGCTTCTTAAAATATAAACAATATTACTAATGAAGAATATATCCGTAGGTATCGACTTACTAAAAGGCGGTTCATGATTCTTTGCCAAATTGAAGACAAAAACTAATTTAAGATCCTCAGAAAGCGTATCTCTGAAAATCAAGGTATTTTATCCCCGCTGACAGCTTTAATTATCTCTAAACAAAACATGATTATTTTTCTACTATGTTTACTACCCATGGTGCCTATTTATCTATTTTACCAAAGGTCTATTGGTGTTGCAAAACATTTGTCGCAAAAAATGTGCAGTGTTTACATAAAAGAAGTTTGTGAAGCATTGACCTATTGAAATATAATTAATAAATATATAAAATTTCCCTCTAATTAAGCTGCAAGAATGCCTGTTAGTCAACGGTATATTATTTGATAGATATTTATATTTGGTATTTTAAAAATTATTGATTAGAAACTACTACTAAAACAACCAAGCAATTGTTTTTATCCTCATTGTTCTGCATGGATCATAATAGTTGAATCTAATAATAATAAAAAATAGGTGTATTACAAATAATCCTTTGGTTTTAGGACTTCAATTTTTATAAGTAAATCATATTGTACATAGTAACAGCGACCAACTCACTTAATTAAATTAAATAACCTTTATACAATACAATTAACAGAACTAACGATAAATGACCAAAATTTAAAGCTATGAAAAGTAAAAAATTATAACCACTGAATTATTACAATATTTATCAATTACTTTCCCTATTAATCCTAAAGCTCCTAATCCTAATGCCTGCCAGTCCTTCTGCATTTCCCTAATGCTTTATTGCGCTCTTCTCAGATCCATGTTATCCTTTTGTTGTCTTTTTCTAATTTCTCTCAAGTCAAACTGGCTGGAGAAACATTTGTGATGTTTGTTTCGGAAGGCACGTTAAGCCGTTGGTCCCGGCTGCATCTGCAGTCGTTAGTACCCGCCAAACCGCACAGGGCCCGCGTGGTGGGTCATGGCCCTATCTCCCTATTCCTTCCATATGGAAGGCCTGTGCCCCAGGAGTGGGGACATTAATAGGCTGGTCATGATGATGATGAATGATTACAGATACGTGTCTATGATAGAGAGCGCATTCAGCCTAGCATCTGCGCTGCAGTTCATGTTGAGCGTTATGGTATTGTGTCTCGTCGGCCTCCAGTTCCTATCGGTTTGTACCAAATTTTGTTAATTAACTAAATAAGTATATGGTAGGTAAAATAATTAAATAAGTCCCTCTGCCTTATTTTAAAAATCAGCAAAAAGTTTTGTTGTGTTTGATTCTTTTTTTAATCCTAAAGTATACTATTTATTTTCCTATTCAAGAAAAAGCTTTTAGAAAGGAGTATCTTATATTTTCTTTGTCTCGTATTTTCAGATAGAAAATCCAGCAAGCCATGCAATGCAAATAATCTGGATGGCGATATACCTTACCTGTATGTTGATAGAAGTTTTTATAATATGTTGGTTCGGCGACGAATTGATATGGAAGGTGAAACAGTAGAAATAAATTTAAATATCACATCGCAAGGAAACACACCGACTCAATCATACAGTTGCATACAGTTTTATACCATTTTTTAATATCAGATTTTCTTCCTTTTTGTTTCACTCCCCGTAAATTTATAAAAAAATAAAATACTTATTTGTACTTCACTTTAATAACGCCAAACAAACCCTGCCTATTAGGTATTATAGTTACTCAATGACGCAAAAACGGCAAAACAGATATGGATTGAATTTGGCACTTATTTTCCCGAAAATAGATTCCTGAGGGATTTTGGGAAAAAAACGAAGTGAACTCAGATGTAGTCGCAGGCGGCTGCTAGTACTTTTATAATATCATCATTAAGATGCGACGATATATTACGCGATTTTCTGTTACGGAAAAGACCTTCTCAATGTCATACCGACCTAACATAGATATCTCTTGTCATGCAATGGCATCGTAAAAATCCAGTTGCATTAGATAAGATTTAGCGAACCATACTGGGCGGAGTGTATCTTTCCGGCTTTCACGGGTGCATGTCAACTTCCTGAATATACTTTGTCTTCGTTTTGACCAAGGAAATTTCTTTTGTTTCCTTAATGTAGGCGAAACTCTGGGAACCTTTTAAGGGACACCTTCCTTACAGCGGATTTGCCTCTTTAACGTCTGACTTAGAATAAAAAAAACCTCTCAAGAGCTAGGCGGACATACACATTATGGGTTCTGTACCATTGTAATAATTAAAAAAAATGGGTGCGTGTACTTATGTAGGCGCGTGAGAAGTTATCCTTCTTTGGCATCGTTTAAAATTAGTTTTTAATTGCATGCAAATAATTAATTACAATAAATTAATAAAAAGTCTGGAAAAGGACACAGTCAATAAAGTTCAGTTTTAATTTGAAAAAATAAATAAATAATCAAAATATTCAATTAAAATCGCTACTGAATATAATTTATTAGAACATATGTGATTTGCACTTGTATGAAACTCAAACACGTATTCCGAATATACAAACTAGAAACATGTGGATAAATATTATAAATATGAATAACTATAACTGTTACTTTATTACAAAAAATAAAGATGTGGTTTTTGGTTCTACTACACCAATGGTCAAGAGATGGCGCTGTAGTCTCCTGAATCGCGCTTTGGTTCCGTTGTTCCAGATTAATAAATACTTTTGATATTATAAATATGAATACCTATAACTTACTTTATTACAAAAAATAAAGATGTGGTTTTTGGTTCTACTACACTAGCGGTGGGTCGTTCTCAAAATTTTTGACGACGAAACGCAACCGTTTTCTCTTAAACGAAAACTAGTCCTCGAAACGGTTCTCGTTCGCAACTGGATTTGGTTGCGGCTAGGTGACGACGCGACGCAACGAAACGACACGCGACGAGACGGTCGAACGAATGTAACCTAATGAAACTAACCTAAACAAAATCTTGACAACGTCTTCGTTTCGACGAGTGAAAGGATTGCTAATTTGCAACGAAACACAGAAATAAAAGTAATGTTATACGATAATCGACTTTTAAGTTTTCAACAATAAAGATTATATTATTACAAGCTTTTATTTAACTTGCTATGTATGTTTGTTACGGTCAAATCTTACAACTCAATTTTAAAGCACTTGCCCTCAACCGATTAAGCTGAAATTTGGTATGCTCGTTCAGTTCGGATGACAATGCATGATTAACAGTGTGACGTCATTCTAAATCCAATACGGCGGCATACCCAAAATGGCGGACCAATCATTTTTAATGCATTCCTACAATATGGGTATCAAATTAAAGGGCTTGCTGAGAGTAACTCGAAAAAAATGTGACGTCACTCTCAATCCAATATGGCGGACTTCTAAAATTTGAAAATCTATTTAGAAACAGATATCTTTAACTAATTTAGTGTAAATTTTCTTTTTTTCTTTTTAGCGCATTTATATAAAAGCTTGTTTTTAAAAAGGTTTTTTTATACCTTAATTTTATTTTAAATTCAAAGCTTAATTGTTATAGAACGAAACGGTCTCATATCATTGCGTTCTATTATAGACTGTATTTACTTCATCATTAAGTACAAATTGGCGTGTCGACAATCCGAGGACCAGTTGTTAGACGAAGACTGTTTTGATCCCAAACGTAAAACGGTTCTATCGTCGCGGAACACAAAACGGTCCTTGAAACCGGTTCGTCTTTAGAACGCTCACAACTATACTACACCAATGGTCAAGAGATGGTGCTGTAGTCTCCTGAATCGCGCTTTGGTTCCTTTGTTCCAGATTAATAAATACTTTTGATAGGCCTTCACAATGCAGCCGTTAGCACCCACTAAATAGAGATTCTATTTTGTTGGTAGATTTTCTTAATGTGCGGTAAACACAAAAGTAACGCATGAAGTTGGTCGCTAAAGCGACCAACTTCATGCTGTTAAACTTTTGTGTTACAGTGGTGCGCGCGCATCTTAAAATTTCACTCTCATCATTTTTTCATAACGCGCCTAAAGAAGTATAACTTCAAAAATTATAGAACGCTTTGCATTTGTAATACATGGATTGCTGAAGAATAGAGAACTCTTATTATTTACTAATTTTACGTACCTCAAAAGAAAAAAAAAACAGAACCCTTAAAAGGAAAAAACAGAATAGATAATTTTTTTTGTTGTCCGTCTGTCTGTCCAGACTATTTTTTCTCAGGAACGCGAGGAGGAATCGAGTTGAAAGGACGTTGTTCTGCGTCCATACGTAGTTAGCCTAAGAACCAACAATCATGAAATATTATTTCCTAGGTTCGAAATCGCAAGTAAATGACTGTAAAAACAAAGATTATTGACGGACACTTCTGAGAACTTAAATTATTAGGAAAACTAAAATTTTTTTGAGGTTATGTTTAATATTCAATGAAACATAGGTCAACCTATGAACTTAGTATGAAGTGAATTAATATTACAACTTATTCATTTTATTCGGTGCTATTTTAAAGAATAACTATTAGGAAAAACTTGGTTAGGTAGGAATCATGAATAAAATAAAAACTGTAGTTTTGCTTCATATTATTTATTGACTATTTTTCACATAATTGTATCATATTGTATATATATTGTATGTATTTGTTTAACACATGTATATTGTGTAAATATGCAGCGTGAATGTGTATCAGGTGCTCTTGAATAATTTGGCAGTATCATCCTCTCAGGATTTTGTGGCACAGGTTCACTAGCACTTGGTAATAAGGTCTCTACTCTTTGGTAACATCGATGGCATATTAGATAGCCGAAATAGTAATAGTTAAATTAAAGAAAAAACAATCGCAAATAAACACACACAACAGGTAATCCGAAACGACAATTTTCCGTACAAAAAGTACTCTTTGACGAGAATGCACGAATGCCACAGATTACTACGAGAATACACGAATGCCACAGATTACTACGAATGTAAACTGCCTGCACCACAACCACAGAGTATCGAGTTTATGCCGGCCCTTCACTTGACAACAGTTTGTCCTTGTCATGTTTAATAAGGAATGAAAAGGACGGACTGATGTGATGTTTTTAAATAGCAAATACGAATAGCCAAGTGAAGTGCTGGCATTAGGAATAAAGTGTTTTGTTTACAGCACTGTCATAGATTATACACATAAAATGGTATTTATTGTCTCAGATTATTTATTAACTTTTTAATTTAGCTTACTTAACTGGAAGTGTCCGTCACAATCTAAATACTGATAATTATCGCAAAAAATATACTAAGAATTATCATAAATGCCAAATTGGTGTTGGTTCTTAGGCCAATTTTAACATTGTCCTTTAAACCCTATACTCAGGTCTACAGTACAGTGCAGTGGGGACATTAATAGGCTGGTGATGATGATACTATCCAATAGCAGACGAACGAGCTCACAGTCGAATGGACATTTCACACTTATAATAATAATAATTTATTTTCCAAAATATGGTTACAATAGTTGTTAGATATTTCTTATTTAGCTTAGTTATAAGGAACCCTAAAAATCATGAATTACGCATTATAATACTTTTGTAAACGGTTTTATACAGAGCAGGGGCTTAGTTCAAGCTGCTTTCGATGGACCTTGGTTGAAAATTGAGCAAAAGGATAAAATTTTCATTGTCATATTTTTGGAGCGATGCAAACGTCCACTGAGAGTAACGGCTGGTAAAATTTTTACACTCTCTCTGGATACATACACTATTGTAAGTTTCGTTTACTAGAGCTTGTTATTGATGTGTAACATCTTTCCTCTCTTTGTTTCTTAGGTTTTCACGCACATCACTCATTAAATAAAACTAGTTTTTACGGGTTAATGCACGAAACCTTATTTATTTATTGACGTTTCGTAGCCTTAACATGCATTAGGGGGACCAAACCATTACATTAGATTTGATAAACCACAGATCCTTGCAGCTGAGCGGCGGTTCGTTCCTCGAATGGTGCGCGAGGCTATTGAGATTAAAAAATATCCAAATTTCAATAGGGAAGATGGTTGGTATATACCACCAGCTTGGGAACCTATTATACAGGAGATAAAATCCCAACCCCGAGCACACACTGCAAGAAAATCAGATACTATTAGTTCTTTTTGTTTGCATAATTTAATATAAGAAGGAGATAGAAAGCCTCTCTCTAGTTTGTTTCGCCGGTTCTTCTCTGAAAGGTCTCCCAATTTTGGAACCGGTGGTAGTTTACGGTAGTTAGGGTCAAATAAATAAACTCAAAATTACAAAAAAGAACTTTAAATAAAATACTTTATTAAGTAAATTAAATAATAAATTCATACATAGACAATAAAACTTTAAAAATCGAACAATGAAATAACCGAACGCTCAATAAAAGGTAGTCTTTCGAAGGTAGCTTGACAAATTAAATAAAAGTTTGATTCTGACGACGTAGCCTGTAAAGGCTACGAAACGTCAATAAATAAATAAAGTTTCGTGCATTAACACGTAAAAACTAGTTTTATCTTTCCTCTCGCTTTCCTGCAATTTGTGGGAGTGATTTCGTGATACGGAACGGAAGTGTGTAACAGGAAGTCGCAAAACCGAGCGCTATTTGATTTGATTTTAGAACATAATGTTCAAATGGCTTATTCCTTTTGTAGTAGGTTTGATTTCTTTTTTTACTAATATAAGGTGAGGTTGCAAATGTTACACATCATACGCGACTACTGTAAGGCTCGCTCGTTTTTTTTATATCACTCCTTAGTCGTCTTGCCTCGGCTTCTCCCGCTACAATTTCTACATACATTTTGATCTTCCTATAATAACTTTTTACCTCATTCTCCCCGTTTAAAAGAAGATTTTCACAAAATACTTCTTTGTTGACGTCGTCTACTCGTAATCTACCTCAGTGATTACTTTTATTGTCAAATATAAATCATTGAATAAGGCTAAGTTGTTTCAGCCATAGTTAACTAGTACTATAGTTAAATAGTTAAAATACTAGAGAAAAAATAGCCATTTGCTAAAATTTTACACATTTAATTTACTATATATTTTTCTTGACATTAACTATAATCAAATTTAACTTTAACGCGCAATTTTAACGCGGCCAGTGCCCTTTCACTTTTTATTATAATTATATCTTGATGATTACTCGGCTGGAAATTTACATGTGATTGTGAACGATATTAAATACCCTAGATACACCACGTGTACTCAAAATGTGTCCCCATCAGGTAGTGCTTGAATAACACTCAAGCACTTTTTGGTTCACAGTCATTCGCGGACCGTTGAAAAGTCAAGATGCCGTGGAGGTCCGTGAAATAATGCGAAAAAAATCTTATAGCACGTAAAGTGTTGTTTTTTCGACATATACCGAATCAATGTTTGTTCATTTAACGCATTTAAAGCAAATTTTGTTCTAATACTAACTTTAAACTGATTTAATATAAAATATTTGTGATACTCAAATGCATGGTCGGTAATATAGCCGTCTCTTTTCCTCGCTGTCCGTACCTGCTGTATTGGTAACAGCGCATTCAGAATTACTTATAGAATCAATGAAATAAGTCGCAAAATTTTATGAGCCTACATTTCGAAACAGCATTACTCTTTGACGCTTGCGTTTTAATTAAGACCTTATACAGTTTGTATTAAAGGTTGCTTCAAATGATCAAGAAATGCTTTATATTGTTTTTGTTATTCATGATATATGATGATGATATGATCATTATACGGAGCTCCGTGAATCGTCCAATGTACCTTTTGGACAGGTTTCAGCCACGATTTTCTTCGTGTTGGTGTATCTGGTATTTAATATCGTTGGTTATTGTAGATAAAAAACAAGGCACTAAATTTGGAATTTGTTTAATTTGTCTTTAATAAATGTACATACATACTACTCATCATAATAAAAAATACCCTTTTCAATTTCCATTTCCAAAATCCACATTTGATATTGTATCCGCGATACGCGGAATTATGACGAAATATGTCATTGCCCTAACCCAGAGGAAATAAATATAACATATGGAAAAATAGGAATAAAAACCTGGTGATAGTCCGTGGCACTGCAATCAAATTGAAGGGGTCTCTTTTCTTCTGGCAAACAACTTCACCGCACCAGTTCACAGTATACAAATAGATATAATAACGCTACCTCGAAGTAATTACAAGTTATATACGAAACACCGTTGTTTATACCGAAATTATCAATAATCAGGCGCGATCGAATCGTGTTCAAGCCGAGCTAAGGAGAAACAGGACAACCCAACAATATTAATAAATAAAATTGACGTCCCATATACGTACATAAGACTTGTACCGAACTCTGGTGTTGGTTACAGCAACGAGCAGACCCGTCTTTCCCAGTGGGCACTTTGGGCAAGTGCCCAGGGCCCCGCGATCGATAGGGGGCCCCCTCAGATCAAATACAAAGTCCCTAGTTCCTGTTAAATCACCAAACGGAAGCCATAGAGGCCCCATTGTCCTAATATGCCTAGGGCCTCCAATAGGTCAAAGACGGCACTGGCAACGAGGCCAACGTAATATTTATAATAGGTTATTTGAAATCATCCACTATAAATGCAGACTGATATATTATGTAACTGCAGAACCTCCTTTCAAACAATAGCTATAATAAAGCATAACGGGTTTCGTTTTTAAATACCCATAATGCGGCCCTAGTAAACAATTCATAGTTATAATTTAATTATAATTTTTCAGCTTATAAACTGGGCTTATAAGGCCTTCGCAGTATTCAGCAAAGTGAAGAAATGATAAGGTAATGTTAAGTTTATTTTTTAAGCATTAAACTGCTAATTGTTTAAATTATAAGACAATTTTACTAGAAAAAAATTCACACGGACCAGGCAACAGACGGGACTCGAACCCGCACCCTCTGCTATCCAGGCGGCTGCACTGACCATTATGCTTCCGCGGCCCTAATGACCGTGTCGAATCCTTTATAGTATTTCTTAGGCTGCAAGGCAGCGCCATCTCTTCGCATTGTACGTAACCTACAATGTCAAACGAATACCTTGCCAAGTCTTAAACATTAGAAAGACGAAATAACAATATCATAGTTATATCTTTTTTATTTTTTAGCATTTAACTGCTAGATGTTTAACTCTGAGGAAATACTGCCTGGTCCGCGTGGATTTTTTTTTATAACATTTATTTCCGTTATAACTTTAAAATTTAGTATTCGTTTCCAAATATAAAATACATAATAAAGGGTTTTTCATTAGGGACGCTACAAAAGTAGATCGATAGGGACAGCAAACGACGCCATTTTTTTTCCCCGTTCTTTTGACATTTCTCTTCAGTAACGTTTGCCATTTCATCATGGAAAGATATACGATCCAACAACGAGTCGAAATTATTAAAATTTACTACCGAAATTCGGAGTCAGTGGCCTCAACTTTAAGAGCGCTACGTCCAATTTATGGTCGTCATAATCGTCCTGCCAGATCAACAATTGAGCGTCTAGTGGAAAAATTTGAATCCACAGGCACAGTACAAAATGTTCCCGTGCCAGTGAGACAAAGAAGTGCCCGTAGTGTCGAGAATATTGATGCCGCTAGCGCATCAATTGATGAAGACCCAAATCAGTCTCTCACACGTCGTTCTCAAGCGTTGGGCATCTCTGTGACGTCGTTGTGGCGAATTTTGCGAAAAGATCTTGGCCTACATCCTTACAAGATCAAATTGACGCAAGAACTGAAGCCGCTTGACCACCAGAAGCGTCGTATGTTCGTGAATTGGGCTGAGCAACAACTTGAAAATGATCCGGATTTTCATCGAAAAATCATCTTCAGCGATGAGGCTCATTTCTGGCTGAATGGCTTCGTCAATAAGCAAAATATGCGTTATTGGTCAGGCAGCAATCCACACGTACTCCATGAGTCATCATTGCATCCCGAAAAAATTACGGTTTGGTGCGGTTTATGGGCCGGCGGCGTCATTGGACCTTACTTCTTCCGTGATGATCAAGACCGGCACGTTACTGTGAATGGGAATCGCTACCGCTCAATGATAACCGAATATTTTTGGCCCGAATTGGATAATATGGACTTGGACAATATGTGGTTTCAACAGGACGGCGCCACAAGCCACACAGCGAATGTCACAATCGATTTATTGAAAACCAAGTTTGGTGAACGTGTTATCTCACGAAATGGCCCAGTCAATTGGCCGCCTCGGTCGTGCGATTTGACGCCGTTAGACTATTTCCTGTGGGGCTTCGTCAAGTCTATGGTCTATGCCAACAAGCCAGCGACGATTGATGAACTTCGTACGAATATCGAACGTGAAATTGCAGCAGTATCGGCCGATTTATGCTTGAAAACCGTCGAAAATTGGGTTCAGCGTCTGGACTTCTGCAAGCGTGCCCGTGGTGGCCATGCAAAAGAAATCGAGTTCCATACATAATGGCATAGAATGTACTTTAACAGGAATAAAATTTTTTATTGATATCCAAAATCGTTTTTGTTTTATTTAAAAAAACTTTTGTAGCGCTCTTATTGAAAAACCCCTTATATTACTAAAAATTACGAATCTTTTATTTTGCTTTAAACAAAAGCAATGTAAACTTATAACAACAAATGCGTTTCATATTATGGTAATGTTAAATTAGCTACTTTGTTACCTCGTCACAATCCCCGATATAACCCACAAATAAAAGAAATGTAAATTGATTAGATTCCCATGCAAATTGACGGCATATCCCCCCCTCAATTCGCCCTGCCAATGGCATAGCATAGGCCGGGGCACCCAATAAATTTCAACTGGCTTTTTATAGGAAATTCCTACCGTTTTAACGAGATCCTACTGTTAAATGATTGTTGTCATTCTAAAAAGGCAAATTGTCAAATAAGTGTGCAAATTGTTATAGCGGAGAGTTCTCGGGAAATCACAATAACAAAGTGGGCCCTTTTATCTTGCTTTACTGTCTTATGTCGGATATTTTCTGTGGAAAAGCTTTTATAGGCGTTTCCGATGTGTTAATCCAAAATGTTTGCCAAAATTTAACTACTCTAAACTGATGATAGGTATGCGATTTTAGATTCTTCCTCTACCATACCATAAGTATGATGCGTCTCTGTGTTGTGGCTATGAGGTGTTATAAAGTTCTTAAAATCCATTTCATAAGATCACAAAATGGTGACGCTTTATGAACCACGAGAAATATATATTTTTTAAAACAATGGTACAGTATACAATACGGTGCTAGTGCTAATTATTAAAGCTAGTTATTAAGTATTAGTTTTTAAAGCTACGTATAATATTTGTGATCTGTTTCTAATAAAAAAAGAATGCATAAAATAAACATCATTAATATTAAATTCAAGAATTCATAAAATAATGAAACAAATTATTGGTGTTTCATGCAGATGTCACTATCTTAGCACTTACTCAATAATTATGTTAGTCAGCGTTAAGTTTATGTCTTAACTAAAGTTCTCCCAAACCTTTTAAACACAATTTTCAACGGAGATATTTCTTCATTAATATCACTTTCACTACATACATACTGTGAAGCTATGTAGGTCTAATTTTTACTAACTTTCCTTTCAAAGTAATGGGTTTCTGCAAGGGAATGCCCCTAAGTATAAACATGACATAGGTACTACCGAACAAATTAATTCCGAACCCATTTGCCTGATGATTCGTTTAAAAATATCAATACAGACAAGTTAAATCTGAATCTGTTAAATAAAGAATGCGTGCACTAAGGACCTTCTAATACCAAGGAAACTGAATAAATGTGGATCAAAAATCTTTGACATGTACCTTTGTTTTCAATGCAGTAGATCATATTTAAAAAAACTAATAGAAAAGTCCTAATTTTAGTTTGAATTTCACCTTATAACTTTCAAAATCGTAAATTTAACAGAAACTCTTTCGATTTCTAGACATTATGAAAAACTTTGGTAGACTAAAGAAAAATTAAGTCACGGTTACGTCATATGATTGTACTGAAAATAACAACTTTGTTTCCTGGGATACGTACATTTAAGGGAAAGTCTACCTTATTGTTTTGCAATTGTTTTAAGAAAATAAGTATATGGTGGGCAGGAATCAAATTGGCTGATAGTACATTGGCATACACAACATTTATGCAACTCTACTAGGTACTGAAATATTAATATGGTATTGGCTATCACTTTATGATTGATGGTGATTATGTATTTTTGTCACAAGGAATGGATGATTATGCACTACTAGTGGTCTCTCTTTGGACATTTCTTCTGTAAAATGACCTTAGTATTTTTCATTTATATACAATTCGTTTCATCATCAAGAAAAATAAACGTAATTAAATTTCGGTTAGCTGAATATCAAACACAAAGTCCTTCTATCCAGCAATTGGCTTAATTAATCGTACATAATAACAACACGAAGATACAATCCTACCGATCCGCTCTAAAATTGAAATGACAAAAGATTTGTATATACGTAAGTAAACCACTAATTGAATAATAAATTTGTACAGAGAAACCGCGCTGCCTTTAATTAAAACGAAATATCTGCATGGAAATTAAACGTTATTTTAAAGCAGTATAAGTAATTGGTTTAGGTAACGAGCTTCCCCGCTAAAGTAATCGATCGAAGCATAACCGCTGATGATATCTCCTCATCCAGTGGTTTTGGAAACAATACATATTCTAATTTATAACGTCAGCGTCGTTGAACTTGAATACTTGAATGAGTTCAATATCTCCCGTCCCGAGACAATAGACAGTCTTAGCGTCTATTTTAAGAGTACTCGAAACGCGTGGGCAGGGATTAGCCAGGTCTCTAAAGTAACATTGACATATGAGTAGTTGCCGTAAGTATACTTGTACTACGTACGATACGAGATATTGGCAGAATTAAAATGGTACCTAATCAGAAAATTGCCACTAATAAAAAGAAGAAGAATTTGCCAGACCATGAAATTCAGCAAAAAAATTCAAAACAAGACGTAATTTTAAGGATATTCGGTCCTCCAATAGTGGCGAAAATATAATAAAATTTAGTTTACCTGGAGAGATGGCACTGAAAGCTTAATAAAAAAATATTTTGCACTTAATAAAGAAAAATATAATAAGACACTAAAATGATCACAATAACCGTAGAAATAACAAGAACAATGATCATGGCATAAAAAATATATATATTAAAAAAACTTGAATCTTTTTGTGTTCAACAGATACCATTGTTGTTGTATTGGCAAACAGTACGGCAAATGTTCATAACATGGCACTATAAAAGCTGCCAAAGAGCAGCTATTGATCCGCTTAATTAGACGATAACTTAGAAGAACTAAGTTAGTCGTCTAATTGAGTTAAGCCGTAATACAATCCGGCTTATAGTCGATACCTTCGCTATAATACAAAACAGCTCCCAGTTCTCTAAAAAATCTTTTCGGAATGTAGTATGGCAAATCCTACAATTACAGTTGGTACATTTGGCTTTGGTTTAGTTAAAGATTTTAGTTTAACTATGACACATCTCTGGCTGTAACAGTGTCATGCATGATATGATAACACTATTACCCTTATTAATAAACGAAGACTAAGCTTGGATTAGTTACTCTATGTTTTGTCTTTGTTCGTTGAATGACAATTGAGTGATATAAACAAAACACGGCGTAACTAGTCTAATCCTATTCCTCGTTTATTAATAAGGGGGTATATGTCTATATAGATATTCATTATGTTCGAGAAAGAGAAAGCTAAGTGCGTTCTATCGTCTGTACCACGGCGAGTGTTCTGAGGAGTTCTCTCTTATTC